CATCACAGCAGAGAGCTAGGACAGATGGATCAGAGACTAGACTTTACACGTCTTTCTGACATCATTATCGTGTCAACCACTCATAAGCGGTGTCTTCTGCACCTTAACGCACACACAAGTCCACACACAACTGCAGTCGTCAGCTTTGCTTCAGTTTTTCCTTCATGCAGGTCATCAATCAAGTGGCTTTGCTTCTTCTGATCAGTCTGAGGGCAGAGCTTCAGTCCACAGACGAAAACTGGTTCCAAACCATTTCACTAATAATGACGATAAGATGATCTGTTTACCGTAAAACACCAAAAAGCACAAAGTTTTGGTAAGTGGAAAAAGAAAGATGATGAAAAAGTTGGATGAGCCGGTTTCTCCTCGTCTTCATGATGAATCTGCTCAAACGGCATCAAGAATTGAGACGGTCGTCTTTCACCGATCCTCCGACTCAGATTTTTAATGTTTAATCTGCTAACAGACGAGCTAACGGCTCGTTCACCTGGTTTCTCAGCTCGCTGGAGGTCAACGTCCAACGCGGCTTCAAGAGTTAACAATAAACATTAAAAGGTTTTAAGAAGCAGCGTCCAAGATTTTTATAAAAATAAAAAATACGTCTCTAAAGGCTGAAAGTTTCTACTCAAAGTCTCTGTCATGAAAATCATCATCATCATGTCTCCATTGAAAATATATTAAAATTATTTTATAAATAGAAAAATGAAGCTGTTTTTTTGCAACTAAGGAAATGAACACAATTTCAGTTGAATTCATCTTGTTCCAAGATGGTTTCTGTCGTGTAGAACTTTTTGAACGTGTTAAGAACTCCAGCAACACGACAGCGAGGCCCTGCGACGTGTCGTGCTGTATCGCGTCGTACTGAGGAAGGCGTCGTGGCTCAGGAGGAAAGTGTGAACACTCATAAATGTTTTGACACATTCTGGAAAATCCCTCATGAATATCGTTAGCATTTTGTTGCCACCTGTCACGGCCCAGAGAGATGCTGGGTTTAGTTCTTATTGTCAATACTGTTTA